ACCTAATGCCTGCTTCAGGGGCTAGTCGACTCGTTTTGCCGAAACCCGGAGGTGCCTCCGCCTCAAAGTGGAGCCCTTTCGCCCTTGCTGAACGTCACACCCTGATCCCTCTAGCCAGCTTAAAATCCCAAACCGGCACCATGTGCAGGACCACCGAACAGGGTGTTTCAGGTTGTGGAAAGTTGGTGTTTAGTGATAATGGGCTTGGTTTGTTTTTGATGTCGCTGTGCGTAGGCCCTAGGGTGATGTCGAGTTGGATGCGAAGGTTTCATGTCTGGGCTTGGGGCGAAGAGTCTCAAGGCCTGAAAGCCTGGAAGGAATCTGGTGTACCTGCAGGGGAGCGGCACTGGAGGCAAGTTCATCATGCTCTGATCATCAACAACGGCAACATCATCATCAGAATGGGCAGTATGTGTGTAAGCCACATCACCGTCATATTGCCCTCTGTCATTAGTTCCACCACCTCCGCCACATTGTCGTCATCATCACCACCCTCACTTTCGTCGGCATGATTGCAACTCAATATCCCCTTCTGTCATCTGGGCGAATGCAATAACGGTAGTCTCGATGCCACCTTACGCACACAGCGTTTGTTCAAGGTGACTTGCCGCATGCTTTCTGTTGTGGGCGTGAAGCAGGTAAATTGGCATTTTGAGTTGAGCGGCTACAAAACCATACGTATGACACTGTGATCGCATGGTGAAGGCTGCAGTTGAGCATGACTCAACGTCCGCAGTGACATAACCTAAGCCCGCTCAGGCATCAGCCACCCACAAAGTCTACGCACAATATCTTGGTGAACCCTTGAAGCTCTCAACATACCCCCTGTTCCACCAAGCGATCCGTCAACTCTTTCTGTCACGCCAAGTCTGCCTCATGCTCAGAATAGAAATTTAAAGCCACGGGACCCAGAGACTCCGCGCCTCAGCCTACTCTAATGCGTGCTCGTTCATTGAGGGATATTGCCTTCACTCGGCATGGCATGGCAGGCTGCTGCTGGCCTCGGCGACTGCCGTCTTGGATGACCGCCAAGCCTACGCCGCTTACCAGGTCCGCCTTCCAAAGATGGTTTGGGGCTTGTCGCATGTTTTCCTGCAGAAGTAGCAGCAGTCGTCGTCGTCTTCTCGTCGTGGTCGTCATAGTCGCGGTCATCCTAATCCTAGTCGCGGTGGCAGCGGTAGTGGTAGTAGTCGTGATACAGGCAACAGCAGCAGCAATAGTAGTAGTTGCAGCAGTATCAGTAGCGGTGAGCTTTGTGCCTACGGTGTAGGTGCATCCATACAGTATGTATGTATGGCTGCAACCCAAAGACTCTACAGAGTGAGCGCTTCAAAATCCGTAACTTTAAAGCTCCACTCCTCACGCACTGGACTGCAGCTCTAGAAAGCCATATAGAAACAACATCGGTTGTCCTTCGTGGAGTGTCTCGATGTCCACCGTTGAAGCTTCACATCCGTATCAATGAAAACCAGTCCCTGCGCACTTTCAACCACAGAGCTGAGATAAGCGAAACTTCCACAACTAGCTTCCTTTTTCCTCGGGGTCTTTCGAGCCAGAAAACTTATGAATCGCCCCCACACTTGCACGGAAGCTCTATGTGACATCCTTTTGCCGTCTGAAGCTCTCTATGACATCCTTTTGTAGTCTGAACATAAACTATGCCAGATCCTAGTAAAATGCTCAAGTTTGAAGGCTGTGCGCAAGTCCGTGGCATCACTGGGAGCCACCCTTTGCTGAAAGATTGAGGAAAATGCTTCGCACTGGAGTCGAGGGTTGTTTTATGGTTTTCTGCCTGATTCGGATCCAAAGTACTATGCGAGTTCCTGGCATAGGCTCCCAATCAGAATTATTAGCAGAGTTGCTCTGCAATAGTACTTGTAGCTGTTGACAGCGGGATTCGTTGTTTTTGTTCAGCATCCCGCCTGCCTTGACTGGGCAGGGCCCCTTCTCAGGGTTTTGGGTTAAAGCCGCGCCCGCTAAACGGACTGTGAGTTCAGAAGATGGAACCCTGAGTCGAGCTTCAGCCCCTTTTGGAGGGAAGCCCTAGATAGCCTAACTAGATGGCCATGGGATCAACAGAGATTTTCCCTACGAAGAGCCGGAAGCCCAATCCTATGTGCTGAGTAAAGTGTCGCCTTCAGCGACTTTGGCGTTGATGTTGTCAACAAAAACTATCATGTATGGTCATCGAACTTATTCCCGTTCTTGTCGGAACTCTTCATCCATGGACAAACGATCCCTTCCCCCTTTTATTAAACACCCCCCAATGATGACAACGCATTGGGGCGAATCCTCCCAAAATCATCCCCGCATTTTGAAACCTATTCTGAATTAATGGGGAGGGTTTCGAGAGGCTCCAAATACTGTACCCTTAGAGCACAGTGAGAGCAAGAGCAAAAGCGGGAGCACCAGCAAAAGCAGCAGCACGAGCAAAAAAAACAGCGAGAGCGGGAGTAAGAGCAAGAGCAGGAGCAAAAGCAAGAGCAACAGCAAGATCAGTTGCAGGCGCAAGAGACGCCGCAAAAGCAAGAGCAAAAGCCAGCGAGGGAGCAAGAGCCAGAGCGGGAGCAAGAGCCAGAGCAGGAGCAAGAGCACGACCCCTCAAAAGTGGCGTTAGAGATCACAATACCCCCTGAAAATAAAACTTAGGGGGAAGGGATTGTGCAATATTCAATATAGGAAGTGGATAACATCTGATGGTATCCCGTCAGCCTTTGTCCTCGGCAGAAACATGTTCCAAGAGTCACGAAGGTAGCCAAAGGGATACTCCAGGTACAGGCATATTGACACGCTTTCGGTGATCAACGTCCCAGAGATGGAAAGCTTCATAGGGTATTGGCCCGGGCCCCAGCAAGCTTGAGAAATCTAAAACCTAAATCTGCGCCCTAAATTTAACAAAAACCCTAAGCACAGATATCCTAATTTCCAGTCTGTCTTGACCCGAAATCTGGCATCCGCTTGCTTCTCTCCAAGGTCAGCTTTTAATCCAGAATCCTAAACCCAAAAATCTGGACCCTAGAATCCCTAGAAGGCGTCTTCTGAGCTGCCTTGTTCCAAACTTCTTGCAAGTTTAAGCCCGTACTACCACTACCAATAGCACCACCACCACCACCACCACCACCACCACCACCACCACCACCACTATCACCACCACCACCAGCACCACCACCACCTCCACCACGACCGCCACCACCACCACCACCACGACCACCACCACGACAACCACCACCACCACAACCACCACCACGACCACCACCACCACCACGACCACCACCACGACCACGACAACGACGACGACGACGACTACTACTTCATCTACTACTATGAGGTGCCACTCGTACTACTTATACTACTAACTTCGTGTGCGCTACTTACCAGTACTACTCATACAAATTTTCCGTTAGCACTGCTCCTACTCCTACTGCTAAAGAAGCTACCGCTACCGCTGTTGCTACGATCTACGGATCCTGCTACTACTACTACTACTACTACTACTACTACTACCACTACTACTATTACTACTACTACTACTACTACTACTACTACTACTACTGCTACTACTACTCCTGCTCCTGCAACTGCTATGTGTAAACTGAAGCTTGGAGACTTGCTACATGCAATCTCCAAAATCCGAGCCAAGTTGAGCGTCCAACACGTCAACAAAAACCAGAGCTTTGGTTTGACAGAGGTGCCTTTTGAAGGACATGGGCCACCCGTTTTGGTAACCTGCTCGTAAGACCTATATGGACATCTTGGCATGCGTATTTGTAGAGGGGTTGCATGATGCTGGAACCCACCAAGAGCCAAGCCTGTGCCCCGTACTTGTCATACGTGATAATCCTTGATAGCTTGTAACACGATAAGGAGTAAACAAACGATAACCCAGTTTTGGCATAAGTTTCATACCGAGTTTTCTAATACAACCACGTCTATAGTTCGAGACGCAGCAGCCTTTCAGTAAGGCAGGGAGTTCTGCTCGAAAATGCGATGCAGCGTGCCGGCTTTATGTACGGCTACTACCTGGAGGATTGATTTCTTTGGGGGAAGCCCTGCAAGTAGTCTGAGAGGGCATCATGTTCATTTTTGAACAGGCACGCTACAACGTAATGCACAAGTTCTTTGACTTCGCAGATGTCACTCTTTAGTCTAGTCATTACGAGGCACACTGCAAGCGCGGCTCTGGGATCAAGGTTCATACGTGGCTTCTGTGCAAGTCAGGACAAGAACTACGACGAGGGCACACGTGCCATCATGGAGGCTTGGCACTTGGGCCTTCACACTTCATTGCTGTTTTGCAGCTTGCAGTTTGGCGGTTCGCCCCATGTCCGCGAGTTTGGAACTCGCTTTTTTTCTTTAGGCAGCATGCTTCAAGATTAGGTCGCACATACAGTGAAGGTACGTGCGGTCCGTTTGCGCCCCTGAGAGGGTTCAACTCATCTCAACCCCATGCCCGTGGCTCCCAAACCTGTAGCCTTAAGCTTGACCCTTGAGACGCTAGTTGTCAACTTGGTGCCTATCTCTTGCACGACAGAGGCACCAATCGAATTGGGTGACTTTGCTGTTATGCCCTGTGTCAAGTGAAGATCCGAGCCCACAAGAGCAAGAAGCCACTTAAGACAGCATTGTCCGGCGCCGAACCGAGAACCCATGAAACTACGAAACCCTCCACTGAAACTGCATGCATTTGTGGCTCGACTGGCGCTCGGACATCCTGCATGAATCAGGCTGCTGGGTTCACGGTTTGGCATCTATGGGTTTTAGCGTGTTGTGATGCACGGCAGCCGCCTGACACAGCTTGACTACGATTTCAGGAAGTGTGAGACTTCAGGTGACGGATGTTTGTTTGAAGCCGAGGCTAAGCGCAGTATCCCTGCAGGGCTGTGGATTCGGGCCGCACTTGCGAATTACAGAGTCGATCGCACTTGTAGGGGCTCCGGAGCGCAGCTTAGCGGGGGTGGCACAACTAGGAGTTCTGAGTTCTGGGTGTGTAACCTGGAGACATGGCGTTTGTGAATGCCGCCTCGGTGCGGCCACCCTCGAGCTACTCGGGCTACGCGTCTCCGAGCTTTGCTGGTGGTGCCGGCTTCTCCTCTCCTGGATTTGCTGGATCTCCTCCCAGGCTCGGCCAGGTTCGACCCGAGACCCGGCGGAGCCGAACCAGCCTGAGCCCTGTGATGCCAGCGCCTCTTGGGCCCTCCTACAGCGCCACGAGCCTGGTGTCTGCGGAAAGTGGGCCCAGTGCCAGAGCCCCGCCTCGTAGCGCAGGGTCGGTGCTCGGGCAGGGCCAGGTGTTGCAGGCTCCTCCGGCTCCTCCATCAGTTCAACCGGTGATCGCCTTGCAAGGGCCCCTGCAAGCGGAGCAGATGGTTTGGCCGCCGGATCCGACTGGACGATCTGTGCCGCAACCAGTACCGCTCTTTGGAAGGACCTTGAGATCCTCACCGGGCTCTACCACATCCTTGCAGGGTGCAGCTCAGAGTTCACTGGTGATGCCTGCACCTGTGGCAAAGCCCATGTGGGTTATCGAGGAGGTGATCGACTTCGATGTCGAGGAGAAGGAGGAAGATCCTGATCTTGACGATTTCGGACGTGTTTGCCAGTCACGATTCTTCCCGGCTTCGCTCTTGGAAGGCTGCATGTTGTGGAACTGCAGCGAGGATGACGAGATCCGCAGACAACGATTAGCCGAACAGTGAGGCCAACGTCGTCATAGACTCTTATCGATGAGGGAGTTGTTGATGGTTCAGTGCCGAAAGCACTATGAATCTTCGTTGTGATTTTCTACGGCAATTGCGAGGAGATGCCAACAGACAATCATCCCAACCATCAGCGTTGTACATGTAATCAGATTACGAAGAGTTGTGGCAGTCCTGCCGGCAGTGATCGTTTTAGCCAAAGCCGTAAATCCGGCGCTGACAAGAAGATGTTGGTAGTGATGGCATAGAAAAAGGATATACTGATGCGATAGATGCTAGCGCAATAGCAGAGGAAACTCGCGTTGCTGATAGCAAGAACAGAAACAGTCCCAATCATGAGGACAAGAACACTAGCCACACAGCAGTAATAAGAGTAGGGAGGTTCGCCTCGGCTCATGGCCAGGGATGCTTGCTGAATGAGTGCTAATGATCTTGCGCTTCCTCCCTGTTTCTTACAGACGACTCGGAAGACAGAGTTTACCCGCCGCGGGCCCCGCAAAAGCAGCTTTCGTGTGACGTTTGGGCTCGAGTTGCTCTAGAGGCGGGACATGGCGGGACTATAGACATCCTCGCTGCCATTTTCCGACTCGTACTTGTCAGAACCATTCAGCTGCTACTCGCCATCAACCACCTCTTCTCCATTATCTCGTCACGCCATCAACGCTTTGTCGTCTCCATCATCGCTATCTTCGCCGTCTATGTTGTCAGCACATGCGCGCACAAACCTGCCACAATCATGGTGAGCACCAACTAGCCAGTGTCAGCGATGTTTGGAGTTTCAGAGTCTCCGTTCGGTGGTTTTTGTTGGCGGAACACGCCGAAAGCGTTTTGACTGACGCGCCGTCCATGATTATATTGCAAAGGTCGCGTAGGGTCATGTCTGTCCTCGTTTCACGACAAGACCTCTGGCACCGCCGTTGATTAATTCGATTTTGCAAGGCTTTTCGTCTTGAATGAGTTATCGAAAGCTTTCGGAAGATGTAGCACGCAAAGGCGGCTTCGTTTTTATTTCGTAGTCTCATGACGCGACACTCTACGCCCTCGCTTTTGACCCAATGTTCCCTTCATAGGAAGGAACTCTAGACAGCGGCTTTACCGACACAGGCCATCTATGAACCGCAGCAAGAGCCCCTCGGCGGATCTGCGATGTCGGCCTGTGTCATGTTCGGGAGCTTTTCAAAGCTAGGCATCATGGGCTTTACTGTACAATGAAAGTCTTATCTACAACGCATAGGATGCGTGTCAGCCTGATTTCGAGCAACTCCAGAGGATCTTGTCGCCTCCGATTTCGTCATGAAAGCACAACGGAGAGCTGGAATCAATACCTCATAGTATGTGGAGATAAGCAATTATAGAACTCACAACCCCCTGAACTAGCTTGAAATTGAATCTCAACCTGGCAGCCCAAACCATTGGCCTTGCTTTCGCTGTCCCACGTATCTCCTCAGCCGAATCCGCCCAGCCTTCTCGAAGCAAAGCTTTCGAAGTCCTAAACCCCATCCAGCCCTTCGCGGACACATAGCGAGGACATAATCATCGTAGCCAGCGCAATCATAGGAAGCGCTGTCATGCATCCCTGCTTGCACAAGTATCACTGTCTCTAAACCTCTGGCCCTAGCTCTAACCCCTAAAGTGGACAGACAATCGTTCTTTGAGGATGGCCGGAGAGGTCGCGGAGATGGTCAAAGATGACCAGGAGATGTCCCGAGTCAACAGGAGAGGGTTCAGGGGAGGGGATGGACCTGGACCCTAAATGTCATTCCTCAGCGTGTCAGAGCGGTTTTGGGGATCAAGGGGAGACGGGTTTGCAGCCGAGAGCTCTGAATTGGGAAGTCTGGTGGTTTGGTGGGTTCAAGGTGTTTGATTTCGGTTTCTGGGGGCTCCTTAATAAAATTATGGTATAATATACCCCAAAACCCTGTTCACACTATCAAGGCCCCTGCAGTATATGTAACCAGAAGTAGTATTAAACAGGCCCAGCCCATTTGCGCCGCCGGGGGCCGTCTTGAAGTTCAGTGGTTAGGAGCGAGGATGTTGCTTCCTAATTAGTTACGGGCGTGACAGCCGGGAGGAAGGGTCTGCTGATAGTTACGGGTTCAGATATTTTCGTGGTTTTGCTGCATGGGGCAGGGACTGCCTTGAAACCCGACACCCCACCTTCCAGAGTTCTTACATCGACCTCAATGCTCTTCACCTGGATCCTGGAACCTTACTCCTACAATTGTCGAAGCCCATCGCTTTCTCACCCTGAACTTGGAACCAAGCCGAAACCTTATGTCCCAGTCACAGGTGGCTCTAGACTTCCTGAAGCCCTGCAGAAGATCAGACAAATCCCGATTGCAGCCCGGAAACCCTTCGGCCCGCAATCCGAAGTCACAAAAAGCAAATCCCAAAATTCCAAAACGATTATCAAGATAACAGAGACAGTAGTGACAGTCGTCATGCGAATAATGAGCAACAGTAGTCAAACAATCCACCTCCCTTGTCATCATCATCATCATCATCCCTCGTCGAATCCTGAGCAATCTCGAGGATAGCTGAAGCCCTGGGACTCGAGTGCATCGGATGGGTCTTTACATCTCTCCCCTTGGCTCACAGCTCAGCAGAGTTTCCACCAGGCGTGCAGGGTTAGTTGAGGCTCGGGGTATGCTCTGATTTGCGTGGTCTGAGTTGGGAATACCCGTGTTGGAGAGCGAACGGCTTACGGCTTGAGTTTCCCAGCCTTTGTTCGTTCCCGAGCCCAGGGATGAGCATCTTCTGGATCCCAAGACCAGTAGCCAGCGTCTGACACTGAACCCCACAGACCTCCAAGCCCAGACGTGAGTCGAATCCAAAGCCTGGACTTGGACTTTGAAGCTCCAATTCGCAGGGGACTCATACCATCTTTGCCACTATCACTAGCCGCACTACCGTGTACAACCTCAAGCCCCCTGGCTTGAACGGAACCTCTCAAAGTCCCGACACCAAGGAGGATGGCCTTCTTCTCTCCCCCGAAGAGGTGGTTCGAATCGCGAGGCCCTGGTTCCGTGTTGCGCAGCTCGCTACAAGAAGTTTAAGCGGCTTCCTGTGGCGGGTTGGGAACGCTAGACTTCGGCTGTGGATGCCTCACCAGGGGTCTGACGCACCGCTTCCGCTTCGCAGTGTGCCGGTGGCCTTGGTGGCTGATTCGGGGTTTCCTTTCGGCACTCCCAAGCAGCCGATCCCGAGGTTCTGGAAAAGATCCTTCATACGCATGTCAATTCTGATCCCAGAATGTGAATTACAGAGCCAGACTGCCAAGAATCGGAGATGAGTCTCCGGTCCAGCAGCTCTGCATTACGAGCAGTATGTGACCCGTACATGCCCACATACAGCCGGAGGCGTTCAAGCGTCCACGCTACCTTCTGGCAGGCTTCAGAATGACCACTCGACCGACAAGCATTTTACAAAGCTGGGCTCCTGGAACTTCACTGCTTATGGCTCTGTGTTTGCGTTTCAGGATAAGTGGGTTCAAGACCTTTCTTTGGGATTCAGTTGCCAGCTCAAAGACGCTTCAGGGTAACTTTAGGGTCCAAGCTGCCAGCAGCGGCCAGGGGCTCCCGAAGCTTACAACCCAGTTTGAAGCAGACAGCCGCGATGATAGTGGGTACCCATGTGTCCTTTGGTTTTGCTTTCACGAAGTTCGCCCCGTCCTAGGACCGAGGAGGCTTTCGCCCTTCCAGAAAAAGCCCCCTGTCACCGACTCTTCCGGGCCTTGGGACAAGTGGCACGGCCCAGGTATACTTTGTCCAAGTTCGTGTCGTGCGCTGTGCGCTTGGGGCTCGGTGTGTCTGAAGTCTTCACTTAGTGGGAAGTGAGCTTCGTGGTGTTTTTGAGACTTCTCGCGTTTCAAGATTGGTCGCATCCAGTGATGCGAGGCGAGTGAGCATTGGTTTCTGCAGCATCCGTCCCTTGAAACATCCATGTCGTACTGTGTCTCACCCAAAGCATGTAATTCGGCCTGAGCATCGGATGTTCACTCTTGAAATCACCGTATCACTATCATCATTGTCAGCTTCGTCATCGTCTTCATCGTCGTTAGCCATCCTTGCAATTGTGCTATGCTGCATGAATCCGTAGCCTCTCGAGTGCCAGCTGCCCGCCGGAACCGAGATCTAGTTCAAGTCATGTGTAACAAGCAGGAGTAGCAGCAACTAAAGAGCAGACACTTAAACTCACAAAAGCATCGCTTGCACCTTTACAGATCGTGGCGATCAACCCTTTACTTTTCGTTTGCCTCGGCTCATTCGTCCTGGGTCCGAAAGCCCATGTTTAGAGACAGCATGCCGTTTGCGAGCATAGCTGCTTGCGCGGGCCAGATTTGGCTGAAGGATTTAATGTGATGAGCCTGGCAGAATGAAGTGCAACAATCATCACTGGCCATTTTTCAAGAATGTTCAAATCTGGTGTTACATTATCGATGACCTGTCCTGCTCCGATCATTTCCGACATGAAGCTTCTCGGCCAGTGCTTTACGTAGTTCGTACATACACCTACTGCATCTTGGTGCCCTATTACATAGCACGTGCGCGAGGAGCTCCAATATAATGTACAAATCGGGATAGCGACCGGGGCTCCTAGTATCCTACGCTAGCTGTCTATTATGGCACATTCGGTCGTACACTCTTGCAAGATGTTTTGCGGAAATGCAACAGTAATCCATCCTGTTGCATTTCCGAAGGACGGCTACCGTTATTCTAGATGCCTTTCCCACAACACTAGCTCTCCATGCCCCCCAGTTTTCCGTAAATCTGCTGATGCTTGGCGGTTGCAAAGTTCTGGTCTTAAGGCTAGACACAACACCCCGAGTCTTGGATGCGAAAATCTGGAAGCCTACGCTCCCTCCACACCTTTAGCACTGAAGCCCTAAATCAAGCCCATGAGACCCCAACAAAGCAGCTGTTTCAGAGCTGCCGGTGCGAGGCCCCGACCCTGCACATAACGGAGCGCCTGGGATCAACCCTTTCATGGCCTGATCCTCGAGGGACTTCTGGCAATCTAGAGGCTTGTGCTTTTGTAGAGCTTCCACCCTGCAACCGATACTTCTTATAAGTCCTAAACCTCAGACACCCATGTGAACACAAGCTCAAACACCACGGCTCTGTTCATAGTCAAGTGCGGGCAGTGACGGCAGGCGCAAAACGGTCCTTCAAGCGACAAACAAATCAGACACCCCAAAGGCACAACCATGCTTGATGCGAATCACACAGCCGGATCTGTCGGTTGTCTGGCGCCAACGGGTTGCGGATTCCGGGTTCCGGTTCCCGACGGTTTGTGTCCGAGTTCCGGGTTTTGGCGGTTCGGGCTGTCTATGGATCCGGGCCGTGTTCCGGGTCGTTAGAGTTGACGCTAGAGAAGAGAAAGTGATATTTTGACACAGCCTCCTGTTGCCTTCACTGCTAAGTAACTGAGGTTTTTGAGTTTCATGAGACTGGGGTATCCTAACGGGCCCGAAGTGTAATTGAAGTTATAAGGCTGCAAGGATGATAGTAAAGATTCGCTCTTCCAGACGAGAAAAATACAGCCGATGAGCACTGAAGACAGTCTCGCACGGGACGACATCGCCTGGCATACGCCCCAAAATCCGAAGCTTATAGTCAAACCTTATATTTAGAGCTCATAATAATCAGAATTTTCTCTAACCTAATCATTCCCCCCCCCCCCTTATCCCCCTATCCAGTCCAGCCCTCCCCATCCAGGTCTCGGAGCAGGCCTGCTCCATGCTCCGCGATGGAATCCTGACCTCCACGCCCAGCGAGCGACGGGCCTGCGTGGTCCGCGAGGCCGGGGGCGAGTACTCCACGGAACCCCTACGATCCCTGCTTTCTGTTAAGAAGGGCTTCAAGGGCGCGGCTCCAACGTTGTCGAATGATGGTACAGAGCACCTTCTGACTGAGGTTTTGAGGGTGCAGGAGTGCAGGGGTTCAGAAGCTTCCGTTTCAGAGGGTCCCACGGCTCAGACAGCTCCAAGGGGCTGCAAGGTTCGGGGTTGTACGGTTTTCAGCCGAAAGGTTTCTCACCGAACTTTGGGATATCATTCTGCCTTCCCAGTTTTGGAAGCCAGTTTAGAGTTTCACACTTGCGAGGTTTTAGGGCATATTGGATCTTAGTGCTTCGGCGGCTCTGAGGTTTGGGGTTCGACCGAGCTGGCAGCCCCAATATAGCACTAAATACAGCCCTGCATACCTCGATTGTGTTTTCAGATCTCTATTTTCGGCGGCGGGGTATCTATCCGCAGAGTGGAACGGGGGCTTGTAGATCACGGCCGTGCCGCAGCTCTCCAAAGCCTCAAACACGCGGCTGTAGGCTAAGGTCTTATCTGTATCGAACCTGTATATGTATATATATATATATATATATATACACGTATACTTATGGACGATAAAGTGTGAACCTGGCCCCGGCAAGCCCAGCCCAGCATGGACCGAGATCAGAGTAGCCCTTAGCCGCCTTAGCCCGACTGTATCCGCCTGTCTTAAGTCTTCCGCCCGCGGGAGCAGCTGAGGCCGGCAAAGACGAGATGATTCCGGACTTCGTCTGCGAAGGTATCGAGATGGAAGGGTCTCGGGGACTACTAACTCAGGGGGTTCAGGGGTCTGGGGATTTTGTGTTTAAGGTTTAGCTTTGCATTTTTTGCCACCGGTTTAATTTCAGGGTTCCCGTGCCCTTGTGGTGTGTAATCACGACCACAAGCAGAACTCCAGGAAGTCAGACTACTCACAGGGGCGATGGTGCTGAGCTGACATGACCTGATTTAAGTCTGCAACGCGGCGGCCGAGCGCGACAGGTAAGCATGTTCGCGAGGGGGTTCGCATAGGCTGGTCGTAACCTAAGTCCGGATCGATAGAAAACTCCCAACTGCGTCAGAGGTTCCTCCTAATCCATTTCTGAGCTCAGCTCTACATCCCTCTTAGGCGTCTTCTGGCTCAACGTTCCTCCGTCAACTGGATGCCGTAGATAGGCGAGTAGATGCTCGGTGTGCTTGGCAATGACACAAACGCACACTACGATCCCTTTCAAAACTCCAGAGAGATCTTCTACACCCCAACCCTATGGTGTCATCTGTTAACGGGGCTGTGTTCCCGAGAACTGGGTGGGAGATCTAAGCTAGGCTGTATGAGTGGTACATAACGTTACAACCATGGAGTCCGGATACATGGCCCCCACAATCCGGTTTACAATTGAGCATGCATCATACTTGGATCTGACATTTGTTATTGTTGGAGGGTGTGTGTGTATACATATATATATATATATGCACGGGGGGTATATGCACACACATTACATATCACATATATGTGTATATGTACATAGATATGTATGTATGTATGTATGTATGTATGTATGTATGTATGTATGTAGGTATGCATGTATGCAGGTATGTATCTATGTACCTATGTATCTATGTACGTATGTATCCATGTATCTATGTACCTATGTGTGTAACTGTGTGTATGTATGTATGTATGTATGTATGTATGTATGTATGTATTTATGTATGTATGTATGCATGCCTGCATGCATGCATGTATGTTTGTTGTAATGTAATGTAGTGTAATGTAAAGTAATACGTCATATGTAATATGTACTATGTAATATGTAATATGTAATATGTAATATGTAATGTAATGTATTGTAATGTAATGCAATGTAATGTAATGTAATGCAATGTAAAAACTGTCTGTGGGTGTGGGTGCGTGGGTCTGTCTGTCTGTCTGTCTGCCTGACTGTCTGTCTGTCTGTCTGTATGTATGCATGTATGTATGCATGTATGTATGTATGTATGTATGTGTGTATGTATGTATGTATGTATGTACGTGTAATACTATACCATACCTACCGATATACATGTATACATATACGTACATATGTTTATGCCATTCCTCATGAGTGAAACCCAGAGACATCTGGAGATACCTGCAGCGTGGAGCTGCTTCGATCGATGCTTTGTCATGGACCACATGGGTCAGGTAGATCCCAAATTAAGCCCTAAACCCCTAAAGTGTGAGGTAGATCTAGCAAGAAGATTGCCACCGACTTCTTCATTGTGCGAGTAAACGATACTGCGCCGAAGAAGGCAGGGATTGCTGCGAACCACTCCGTAGTGTTCGGTGTATAAATTGGGATCGGCTAGTGTTTCAGGTTTTAGGGTCCTGGTGTCGGCACCTTGCAAGTGTGAGTGTTGCTGTCCAGCCCAAGGGCTTCGAGTCTTGGGCCAGGTATTGCTTCAGATGTCGGCTGCAATCTTGAGATGCAGCTGGTTTCCGTCGAGCTCATGATAGGGATGCGGGGAGTCGGGGGGCGGTCTTCATTGACCATTGGAGTGTTCGAGCAATCTTGCATCGAAATCAAGTTGCCATCGTTGTGTCAGATGTCGTGACAGAAAAGTGACTTCGCATTTAAGCTTTCATCAGTGTGTCCCCACAGCATACTGGTGAAGTTTGTCTTCGACTTTGCTGTCTGCGTCTGTCTGCCAACATTAGGACATGGCAACAGGTTGTATCAAGAAATAAACTACTCGCTATGAAATTAACACTGCAGGCCCACGTGTTGCCACAGTCACCCGGCATGCTTCCATGGCCCAATATGGCTTTTACTCGCGATCCGCACCGCACGAATTTCCTTGATGCTTTGTGCCCCTGCAGCATCAGCGACTGCTGACGCACGCTGAGTTTCCACGGGAAAATCGTCCCACGCCCCTTGTCAGCATACAGGCTTCGTCAGTCAGCCGCAAAACGAATAGGACTTGAAAGCGTGGTCTAGACAACTTTCTCCATCCCACTTATCCCTGAAACCGAAACTCACTTAGCAGCAGTGCAAAACAGTACGTTCTTTTCGGCCGGCAAGAGCCGTTGGCTGCGTGCGCTGCACAGCCGGGAGACAGCAGCAAGATGTTTGCAACAAGAATGTTAAACATCGCGTCAGCATGCGAGAGCTTCAGGAAACAGATCCAAATCATAAAGACCCCTCAGGAAGAACCAAGGTTGCCAATATCTCCATCTCAGTATCTTGGTAATCAGATCACACAGAGTTCGGTTAGCTGCATATGCAGGTTGCTTGTTTATGGGTTCCAGGGATTTAGGGGTTCAATGAATCAAGTTCTGCGGCTCCGGAGGATGCTCAGAGGCTTCGGATCCTCCACTTCCGTGGGGCACTAACTCCAAGAAGCCCAAGAAAACCAGGAAAAAGCAGACAATGAGACTTGAACCCAACAGAACCCCACCAATCAGGACGAGGCCCCAAGAAGACAGACAGGCAGAAGAGGCTCACAAGCACTCTGCATCATCTCTTGAAACGCTGAGGCACCCTCAGCGAAGAGAAGACTTGAAAAAGGCCTGGGGGCACTTGTCGGCTTAGGTTGTTTAGGGTTTAGGTGTGCAGGGTTTAAGCTGAGCTTCTGGTGGCTTCGGTACTTTTCTTTTCAGGTTAACTACACCCGGCTCTCCAGACCCTAAAACCAGAGCTCTTGCAGCTCTCATGCTTAAACCTTGCCTGCTCCCGCTGGTTGTCCTTTGAGGGTGAGGCCTTGGGAGAATTGCGTCCGAGTCGGGGCTGCTGTCATGACCCGAGGCCTGAGACTGAAGGACTAGTGTTCAGTCTGAAGTATAAGTATATAGGGCTCATTACCCCGGTGATCCCGTAGAGACCATCATCATCTTCTCCAGCACAATCTTCATCATCACCGCCATGATTGACAACACCATGGCCATCACAAGAAGAGCATCGTTCGGGTTTTGCTTCTTAGTCTTGTTGTTGTGAGTGGCTTGCGGCGCTTCGGTTGCAATCGGGGTTTGAGGTTTAGGAATCAGGAGGCTTGCAGCTGTAATCTCTGGAGCCGCCATCAGTTGGGTACTACCAAATAGATGCTTACCAAACTCAAACCGTGCCTTTCTTCGGCGGACGACAGGCGCCTAAATTTCTTAAATCCTGCACCCGGCTTGAAGCTCTCCAGCCCCGCGTACTGGTAGGACTTCTCTTCGGAAGCAAGACTTTTTGTTTCGAGGATCTTCGATCCAACGCTTAGTTGCCGCCATTGTTCGACACAGCGGTCACAAGCCCTACACCTAAATTCTTCAGCCTCAAGCCTTGATTAAGGATGTAATGATCGTGCAGTCTCCCAAATTTGGCCTGTTCTAGCTACCTACCTAAACCCCTCGCTACACATAGTATATCCCAAATCCTTAATACATCCTGTTCCTTAAGTCGCTAAGCCCGTAAATTCCCCTTCTGCCAAATCGCTCGCCAGTTCTTCAGCAAAATACCGAAGTCGGAGCCATCTTGGCGGCTCGGCCGTTGGGTTGTTGTTGGGGGGGTGTGGGCTTGTATATTCTATTCTTGGTTTGGGTTTGGGGGGTTTATTGTTTGTTATGGCAGGTCCCCCTTCCCCCTCCCAGGCCTTTTGACCCTCGGCCTGCCAACCTCAAAGCATCTTGAACCCTATAGACTCTTTGGACTGAAAAGGCTCTTGACAGTACTAAGTGGAGCCTTCACTTGAAACCCGAATTACAGCCTAAGTCCTGTTGAATTCCCCATTTCAGGTCCCGTTTCGCCGACTTCCACTTGCTCCTGTATATTGCCAAGGCTCGTTTGGGCTTTTACTGCTCCAGGGTGCATGTGTCGGTTGTTTACTGCTTCATTCCTCTGTTTTTTTTCAGGGTGTTAAAGGATTGGTTTAAGGGCCGTGGCCCCTCCGGGATCTAGCAATTCAGGATCTGGGATTTGAGGGTTTGTTCTGTGGTAGTAGGATTTGGGGCAGGCGAAATGCCTCACTGTTCGCCGGTGTTCGGGCAGACAGGCTGCATTCCACCGGTGTGGTTTCGGAACTCCTCCCATCACCAGGGTCCATCGCATCAACGATCTAGACTTCTGCCGTGAAACCGTTGACAAGGCACCTTCGAAAGTCAAAGGTCTCATTCCTTTGTTTAACCCCTACTTTAGTAGGCAGTGTCGGCTCGGATGTTGGAAAGTCTCCGCGTTTGGCGCTTGAGAACAGGAGGGATCATTCACATACCCACTCGGCAACGTTTTCGCTCAAAGCCTCAACAAAGATATTACTGGAGTCCTTCTTTGGCCTTGTCGTTCTTGAGCGAAGCACTTACAAAGCGTTGGCGCTTGCCTGGCCCCTCAGGAGATCGACGTCGACACAGCGGTGACGATCGCCGAGTGTGTGCGTGATCGAAAGGAAAGTGCGAGGGTATCCTTTGAAGTCAAGACAAGCCATGAAACCCGAGACGAAGCCTTAACATGTTGAAAGCTCCGCTCCACAGTTCTTGTCCGGAGCAGACCTCGCGAAATCATGCACCTTAACTCAGCTGTCATTTTACAGAACCCTTCCAAGGCCGTTCCACGCATGCACGCCCTGCAAGAGTAGCGCAGGACATCCCAGAAGGAGTTACGATGATCTTCAACGAGCTCACGCAGTAATCGGTCCGGGACACTGGGGTCGGGACTGTGACCATGCAAACCTGAGATACCTCCCTCAAGCTTAAGGTCTAGAGGGTTGCTGAAAAATAGAAAGAGTAAGCTGCATTCTATTCAGGGCATACAGAGCTTGAACTGATTGATCCACAGCGCTAAGTTTTCAGAGGTTCCACGACTTGTGCAGTCAGGCCACTAGGTACCCAACGACAGGGTGGGGCCTAGATAGTGTACAACGATGCCAGGATCAGCCTTAGCATTCAGGACTCGATTCCAGCTCCACCATTCAGCAGGATTTCTGCATTGGGTGTGTTCTCCTACATTATCAGCCCTAAAGTCCTTATCTCCACCAGGACGTGCCCTTCCGATCGTCTTGTGGCAGACCGTTGACTATTGAGTATGATCTCGTCTCCACTACATTCGGTCGTCTTGAGTGTGACAAGTTTTGATTGTTGGTTTATCAGCATGTGCTTGTGGGTTAACATCCGAGCCTCAACCTGCAGGTGCGGCTCTGGTGCTAGTGCTTCCGTGCCGCAGAGTGAGAGCGCATGAACAGTGGGCCCCTGGTCAGGGCTCAGAAAACAGTGTGTTCCAACTGCCCTGGCGCGAGGGCGGGAGCACCAGAGAAGCCGCGAATTAGACAGTGAACCTCATGCTTCAACGAGGATGAGAACGTTGCACGTCCAGCTACACTGCTCTGTACGACGAGTGCTTACGCTAAACTGGTGCTTGGTGCTCTTGCTCATCCAATTCGGTAGCTCTATACACGTCATGTCACCGGGCCTCGCTGTGAAGCGGCGCGTGCCGGTGACACGAAGTGAGCTTAGCACAGGGTCCTCAGATTGGCTCTCCAGCCGTGGCCTTCTGCACGACTCACAGGTGCGGAAACAAGCCCTGGGATGTGAGGCTGCATGCTTCCACAGCTAGCTCGAGTCCTGCCTGCAAGAGTTTGGGGCCTTAGTAGAACATGCTTTGACTCAGTCGCTCTTCTCTAATTACTCTCAGACTTCTTGAGCCTTGCTGGTCCCAGGCTCAGATCGCTACACGCCATGCGCTATTTCGCACATGCGCAGATCTTTCATGCATATTGGCATGGGGTTCGATCTTAATCCTACAAATACTCGGGAAGCCACTCGGCCAAGCAGATTGAAACATCAAGTTTGGGGTCGGTTGAATATACGTCTCCTGAGCCTTAGCACTGAGGGGTGCCTCACGTTTTTTCCGCTGCCTTGGGTGCAAAGCCATGTTGCGTGGATCGCCATGGCCCTTGTCTCCCTCAAGGGCGAGGGGTTGGTTCCAGTACAGCACTAGGGTTTTATGGGATTTGGTGTTATAGCTTCAGGCTGAACGGGCTTTTCCATATCAGGGTAGAGGGCGATAGCAATCCGATAGCATTGTTGAGTTGACGGTTTGAAAGGTTTACGGCTTACGGCTTGATAGGTTTATTGCGACAGCAAGTTCATTTGAAAGACATGCCCGACGACCTCAAGCACTGTCACTGCACCTCTTAGATACAGGGCTTTAAGCTACAGGTCAAAAGAAGCCCACCAGCATGGTTTTAAAAGTTTGGGCGGTCTTTACCAATGTTTCTTGTGAGGGCATGGCGCAGACTGGGGTTGCAGGACGCGCACGTGGCGGGTGTCGGGTTTCGCATCTCTGCCATTTAGGCGGTGCGGAGTTTCTACAGGCAGCATCCATAGATAGGCGCATGTTTCGAAACCTTGGACAAGGCCGGCACGGCGTCTCTTCGCACAACAAACGTATATAATCTTTCACACATCCGAAGGACTGCTCGGGCCTCAGGGTTGATTTACGGAGCCGGAGACAGAGGCCTTGGAGCTCGAGTTGCTGCTGAAGAAGGTGATAGAAGGGCAAGACTTCTACTAATCGACATTTCCAGTTTACTTGTCTTCTGTCCCAGACCCACTTTCCCTTTGACGTTGAAGCCTCCTCTGGCTCTGGTGCTGCTTACTCCGGACTCTCTACCCTTAGCCTAAGCCTACAACGCCACTGAGACGATAGGGTGGTCCAGGAGACACTCATTCGCAGGTTCACGAAAGTCGCGCTTCATTTTTTGGGATGCAGGAGTTCACTTGAAGTCAAGCCGAAGACCCCAAGCGCCAGTGTAAACCCGAAGAGAAATTCAAGATCTTAGACGGGCCCTGAGGCCTTGCCGCCCCATCTCCAGGCCGATGCTTTCCTGCAGCGGGTGTTAGGTTAGGGCTTCAAATTTGTGGGAGTCGCTTTTGGGTTTTGAGGTTTCCGGTTGGTTGGGTTGGCACGGGTGCGGTTTTAAGGCTCGATGGCTTGATGCAGAGGCTCGTGCTTTATAATTATTGATAGAGTTGAGGGTTTCTGAGATTTAGGGTTCAGGTGCAGACATCGAGCAGTGCAAAAGCGTTCAGAGGTTTTCGAGGTATAGGGAACTTGTCACTTGTGCTGTCCATAGGTCTTGTTCAGAAGACTAGTAAATCAGCTCACCGTCACCTCTAGAAATACTGCACTCTTCGCAGGAAATCTGTGGGTGAGAAGCCCGGGGCAAACAAGCTGGACCTGCTGAAGCCCTTTAGCTCCAAACCCGAAAGCGATGCCATGTTTCGAAGAAATCTCGTAACCCAAAACCTTGCGACCCTAAAAGCCCCATAAAACTTACGCCCCGTTGCGCTAAACCCCAAGCTCTGAGACCAAAGAGCAGCCCTCCTCAGCCCGAGCAGAACACCTGGACTTGGGTTTTGTCTCGAGGGAGCGGCTGGTGGGGTAGGGTTTAGGGATCCGGAGCGGCCGGAGAATACCAAGAAGGCATTATGGGAATTGTGATGACCTCCTTCGCCAGCTTGTGGCTCAAAAGCTTTAGCAGCTCGGCTTGATGAGTTCGAAGGGCCCATACAACTCCCCACTCTTCATTCTCTAATCAATCCTCTGCGATGTCCAACCCAAGCCCCTCAAAATTGAACTCCACGCCCAGCTTTCGTCCGGAAGTCTCCATGTAAGGTCGACCCCGACTGCCCTGTAGAGCCTTTTGGGACAGCCGTCCAAGAGTGGCTAGGAGGTTCAGGCTAGGCGTGTTGCTGAGACTTTGAGTCCTATCGGAAGGCTAGTGACAACACCAAGCTGACTGTGAGCCTCCCCTTGGCGATGCCACCGAATGCACGATGCATTGTTTTCCTGGCGTTGGCAACATGGGCAGCTGCAGGCCTTATTAACCCCTGTGAGTTCTGCTGGTGTCTTGGGAACTGTTGTTGTGGATTTCATCGCCTTTGCGTTCCAGGATGTCTGCCATGGCGCATGTGAGAGCTCCTAGACTGAAAGACCCGGTTATGGTTTGTATTTGTGGGCTTGGGCTGGAAATAGGGTTTAATACCTCTGGGAGACAGCCGGTCAGCTTCGAGCTCAATTTGAGCATTTGGGGCTCAACAGCTCGTTCTGCGTGCGAGCAGCGAGGGCAAGGTCGCAGTCCGATAGATTTTATTACTGGAGTTGGCGTTTCGAGCTTTGGAGTGCTGCAATTCGGGGGGGGCGGGGGGGGTTGGGTTTCTGTGTTCTTAGCGGTTTTAGTTAAGGCTGGACGTACTTGGTATGAGTGCGTCGGTACTAAAGCGTTTGCGGGTTTGGGGTTTGAGGTCTGCCGTGGCCCCCGATCTTGTCAGCAGCCCTGCAACCTCTTGAGTTGCCGGACCAGAATCCATAAACCGTAAGACTGCAAGCAGAAAGACTTTATCTTCTTAGCTACGAGACCCTGAAAGGTCCACCCTTACCTAATTCTTCGAAAAGTGTAGCAGGCACAGACAACGTCTCGCTCGACACGGGCTCGTCCAATGCCACTGCTGCAAATGTCACGCACCCGGGCCTGGAACTGACGTCGGCTACGAATTATGGAGCAACTACTGGAATCATATGCCCTGTGCCGCCGCTGCCTGATATACCCCAAAACTATGCTTTCATTTTCAAGACAATATATCAGGTTTGTTGTAACCTTTTCCGGGGTGTTTCAGGGCCCGCAGATTTGAGAGTGCTTGAACTCTCGATGAGCATTTTTGGAACAGGTCCCAATTTTAAGATGAACAGGGGGCGCTCTGGAACTTTTTGGTCTTTGGCTTCGTGATTTGCTGAGGAGGTGAATACTGCTGCGAGAATCTTTTGCGAGTCAGCACGGATCAGACACGCATGCCTGCGCAGGAAGCACCATTGCCTTTGTAAGACTATGATCCTGATGCTTGTAAGTAAGATGTTGCGGGGTTGTCCCGCAGTCTTGTAAGCCGCCCCCATCAAGAATCTAGCCCAGAGTTTGTGAGGGAAGAGGTAGTACCAAAGGAATCTATGTTTGTTTGTTGTCTGTGTGTGTATTTGACAAGATACTCCACACTCTCATTCCTAGGTCTTTAAAAGCTTGTGGGCTGATGCTTTAGTCCCCTGGCACCCGGCAGCCTGTGGCCTAAAGCCCTGGGTGTTGCTTTCCAAGCCTTTCAAGGCAGCTCCCAGCTGAAGTCGAGGACACACAAGAGGCCAGGGAGCTCAATGTTCAGCCAGTTTCTTTGAGTCAGTATGGTTTGGGGCAGAGGGCTTATAAAGAAGCCCGGCATACGGAACAACTCAGGCTTTGCGGTTAACTCTCAAAGGTCATGTGCAAATTAATATTCAGTAGTGTTGAGGCCAGATCAGATTTTGTGTCGTTTGCCGACAAGGACTCTAAAAGGATCGAGAAGGTAAAGGTTCCGGCGCTGCCGATGTAGGAGCTGAGTTTTGTCGACGGTTTCACAGGAACCCCCCCCTCCCCTCGAATCACATGGCCTCTGTGCTTGAAGGGGTTGGGATCTTAAGATGTTTAGGGCTAAGAGTGTCGATTCTTCTTCGCCGCTTGAAAATTGAGAGTCCGGAGATACGGTATCAAGTGCCTGCAAAGGTGGCTTTTCGCCTGGCTTTTTGGCATTCGAAGCGAACAGTATTGTCCGTTCTAGGCCAAGGTTTTCTTGCAAAGGGTGATGTGCTTCTTTCAACCAGCCTCGGATGCAGGAGTTTAGGATTCAGGGGTATCCTCTATTCAACTGTATTCCTCTTATCAAAGCCCTAAAGCACTTGCGCGCAGGGCGCGAAGGCTGCAGAGCCGGCCACTGACGCGCCCCGGGAGTTTCTGACGAACAGCACTAAAGCTGATGTTGGAAACAGGCGTGGGCGTACTTCGTCGTTTTGCTTGCAAACAATCAAGTGTGCTCTTGCTGCAGATACTTCCGGGTTCGGGGCTAGGGATGTGTGGGACACCCTACCTTGTCAGTTTCCCTGGCGAAATCGTACGGAATAGGAGGCTGAGAGTGCCCCCGAGCTGCAGATCCTCATGCATGTGCACGCTGAATAATAGTTATGGTATGTCATGGCCATTATTTGGGGTGCCTGCCAGCCAAGCATGAGTCTGAGTCCTCGACCGGTTCATGGATGCGAATTCTGCACGTCAAAGCCTGTGTATATAATCGCTTCAAGCTGGGTTCAGACTTTGCAGGAGCAACACCACGCTGCGTGGCATGCTTCACGGACTCCGTGGCTGCAAACTCTTGTGTCTCCCGTCATCTTCGACTTTACATCACAGAAGGGACGAAACCAAGGTCAGACCTGAAAGAAGTACCTGGGCTCCACAGAATTCAATTGCCGAAAGGCCCCTGCAGACTCGGTGTCCAGAGTGAGATGTCCCTGGACCCTTGTACGAACTCGACACTGGAGCCAGACACGGCACACCTGCACCCAAGGCCCTCCAACCTAAAATTCCTGTTTGCCAGACACCGACCCGAACCCGACATCACAACATTAGCTAAACTTTGCAGCTCTATGGATCTAATTTCCATCGGCAATATGCAGGCAAGAACGCTTTGCCCGCTGCGTGTCTATGTTTCCGCCGAAATTCCAAAGCCCAAAGACCTCGAAACCTTAGACCCTCAATCCTTGAGCCCCAACCCCATACCCCGAACCTTTAAATCCCGTCTCTGACTCTTCGAACGAGCCCTTGAATTGCAAGCCTCAATAAGTGACTGAAATGCCAAACCCTTGAACCCTAGATCCTTGAGTCCTATAAGTGCTTGAGCCGTAAACCCTCGAACCCCACACCCTCTTAGTCCATGTCTGAGATTGAAGGAGATGTGGAGGCCGGCCCCATGCAGTCCGTGCTTCTGCTGCAACAGACGTGCAGTCAAGCACAGGGATTGGGTCGACTGGAGCCAGAACCTACTTCAGCCTTGTAGTAAACTGCCAGGATACAGACAGTTTTGAGCGGGTGTTCTTGGAAGTTGAACCATCACCGCCGCTCTGACTGACAAATCCGGCAGGCAATCGTATGCATTCCACAGCTCGCATATGTCGTTAACTGCTGTACATATCAAGCTTCAGCTCTGTGGTTAGCCAAACTTGAAGCTAAGATGGCCTGGCTTCTCGTGTGGATCTGCTGCTGCTCTTTCTGCTGCTACAGCGCGTCACATCAGGACGAGGCGTGGCTAGTCTTTGCGGGGTCGGCCGGGTCGTGCTATCTCTGAGGCCAGCAGCAGCAGCAGCAGCAGCAGCAGCAGCAGCAGCAGCAGCGCAGACACTTGCCTGTGGCGGGACTTGTCTTTGCATACTGCTGAAGGACTACCCTCTGTTGCAAGAGTTTATTCATGCAGGTTGTATTTTTACTTTGTTATGACTGCCTGGCTAGCTGACTCCCTTCATCGCAAAACCTCCTACTTCTAAAGTGTGAAGATGTACATGCGGATTCATGAGCAGGTGGGCATCATGTTGCCTGAAGTCCATGAAATGCTCAAATTCTAGAATGGCTTGGCTCTTGGATCTCAAGCGACCTACTGTAACTGCGAATCCGCAGACAGCGGCACATTTCGTGGACATCATTGCACACACACACACACACACACGCTCTCGGTGGTCCACACCGCCCGATAGCTTCGAAAAGGGCAGCACACTCGTTAAACTCTGCGGCCCGAGTTTCGGATGATTCGCCCTGAAACCGTGGACATCAGACCCTCTAGACCATGGATCCCCAGGTGAAGACTTCCCTCTCGAGTCTTCGAAGCTCTGACTCTGCGAAGACCTTCGGATCGTTCAACAAGCGCCATCCAGCCCCAAAAGTCCTCAACACTCAACTCGGAGTTCGGCTCACGTTTGTCTTCTCTGTCTTTCCAGGTGCTGAGGGAGGCGTCTGCATGTGCGACTGCCTGTGGGCTTTCTCGTTTGGAGACCAGAAGCATGGCCACTAATCATAGCGAACCCCTGTCTATATTCTTGTGCAGGCCCTTTCTCCACTATACATGGTCTACGAGAGAAGGCAATAGCATCATAGAAGACCTGGCCTTGGAGCACCCAACCAACCTTCCCAGAGCCTGTGCCCTGTGGAGGTTCGCACGATGATCCTGCGGAGAAGCTGTGAAGCATCCTTATGGCTTATGTGTGAGCCTGTTAGGCTTCAGGCGACATGCTTAGGCTGTAGTAGGGTTTAGAGTCTTCGTTTGGGGACTGAAAAGTAAGTGTTGACGATCTTTGGAGTTTCGTTGGGCTGGAATGTGTAAGCATGTGGAAGACTATGGCTCGCAAGGCTTAGGCTGCTCAGGCTTCATATAGGGACGGCGGATAGATCTCTTGCAGCTTGACGAGGAGAAACATCACAGCTCTGGGAAAGTCGTGGCTTTGAGGCTTGAGGGCTGATATAGAAGCCTGAATTATCGCGAAACTGTTTATTGGTTTTATTCCTTAGGGCTTTGGCTACCTAGTCATTGTCATAAGTGTAAAGACCCTTGCCAACACAGAAGACCATGCCGTGTACCATCAACCACTATAAGGTCAGTGCTTGTGTCACCCCGATGTGCGTCCCGTCAGTTTTTTGGTTGACAGCCTCATAAGCTCGTTCAGCTGTGAGGCCAGAGGCTTCCGAACCTGGCCGAGAGACTGCGTTGCGAAATTGCGTGCTCGGAGCGACCAAAAGCCGCTCGATACTCTAACATCAAGCATGAACATCGACAAACCTCGGCAATGAACCACCCCTGAAATTCTTCAATATGCTTGAAACCATCGCTAGTCTCAGGAGACCAGCGACAGAAAATGGCGGAAATTGTCGAGAAAGAGATGGTCCCGCGATCAGAGCAGACAGCGACTGGCTTAATGTAGATGCCTGACTAGGGTAATAGTAAGCCTCATATGTACGCCAAGACCCCATTCTCATCATCACAGTGCACGCCTGCACCGTGGCACCCTCAAAAGCCAAACCTAAGGCCTTCTGGATCTGCAAGCCATTCAAGCATGGCTTTGTTTCAACACCCAGGGTTCGTTTGAAAATAGGTTCCAGGTTCAGGCTGACGGTCAGGGTTTTTAGCAGCCCCTTACCGTAACCTTTACTACAGTAGATCATGAAATTCGTAGCCCCATGTATCATGCCTGTCGGACCTATCTCGTGAGACCTTGACAGCTGAGACATGACCTTACAAGTAAGCTGATGCTGAGCATGTGGCCCCGACACTTGATCTGTGGTCTGTTGAAGCCCTTCATACACCCTCGCTCTTCCCACAGCCTTCTTGGCCTTTCAGTGCTCTGCACTCTGTACTTGCAGCAAATCTCTTTAATCTCTGCTTTCGGTGCAGCAGAACCCTTACTTAGCCTCTGCAAACATCTCATCAGCCGTCATGGGCCTTGCACCATCCGGTGGAACCGGATATGTAACAACACCCTCTGAGGTGGGCTCTGCAACATCTTTCGACGGGTTGCTTGGCAATAGCTTGCACAGTCCAGGATACAGGATAAAACACTATGATGTTTGTCATTACCACCGTGGACTCGTGACCGGTTCCTGCTGTTATCATAGACTAGCGTTATCTCCAGTACAACGACTCTTCGGGCATAGTGTCACGTCTGTGTGTTTGCTTGTGCTGTTCCTGCGGTCACCGCCGCTTGTCGAATTGCTGCGAGTGCCTGGTTTCCATGGCATCACCAGCAACAGGCTCATGATCATGACGCCAACATCTTCGTCATCATAATCTCTTGCCATAAGTACCATTTGCACGATCAACGACGACGACAACATCAGCAGCAACAACAATCACGACAGCGACAGCGACAGCAGCAACAACAACAACCATAACTGCTTTCTGCTCACTGCTTTCATTCTTGGCAAGCCCCTCCTTCTCATCATTCCCGCCAAACACCATCAGGACGCACAACAAAGACATCAGCCTGGTTTTTGCAGTCGCCATCATCATCCTCACCACCATCGTAGTCTTGATTTTCAACGGCACAGCTGGTCACGGTGTTCAATGACAACATCTTCAGCAACAGTATCAACGGCGTATAGGCACAGTCGCAACCGCGACGGCTTCAGAAACCATGACTGGTCAGCACCGATAGCCCTATCAGCTTCAGGCATCCGCGTGCGTGTGCACTGTGCGAGTGTGCATAACTGTGTAAGAATGCGCTCGACAGTAAACGAAGGTAGGGGTTTTCAACACATCAGCAGGTACAGTCGGCAAAGACACGGATATGGGACTGGCTATACATACCAGCTCAAGATGAATGCTAAAATCAACTGAGAGGTTCGTGGTACAGCATCGCAATCAAGCTAAAGATTCACGGCACTACGATTGTGCTTGTATTACACACTTCAACACTTTGCCAACATTGAACTGACAGTCTTCTCCTCATAGGAGAGCGCAGCATCTGAAGCCTAGGGTCTAGGGCGTAGAGTTCGAGGTTTGGGGCCCAGTGCAAATCTCGAGTGCAAGCCTCACGCTGCCCTGGAAAACGAAGCTGTTTATCTATCTATCTATCGATCGGTCTATCTACCTACTAACCAGCCTATCTATCTATCTATCTATCTATCTATCTATCTAATTAACTCAATAAGACTACCTGCCTATTCTATCTATCTGTCTATCTATGTATCTATCTATCTATCTATCTATCTATCTGTCTATCTATCTATCTATCTATGAATATCTATGAATATCTGTTAATATCTTTGAATAGTTACACAGATTTCTTTAACAAACTATTCAATGGAACTTTGAATATATAGATATATACACATCTGTGTGTGCATGTGTGTGTGTGTGTGATAGATCCCTTCTCCTATGATTGACTCAGGCTGCTCGCGCCTGGCTCATACTCCAGCTACACTCCGCCGCAACTCTGAGAGGGCCCTGTCAGGCCCTTCTGTAGATTTTGCATCTTTTAAGCAGCGGGTTCGAAGTCGTCGTTGATTAGAACTTAGCATTGTGCCTATTGGTTTAGAGGTCCCCTGTTTCGTGCTGGGGTGCTTTGTATCTTATGTCTAGTCGTTCGTGTACGTGCGGAGTTTTTGCAACATGTGTTCTTCGCTGGTCTCGCACTAGCCTTCTCCAGAATATTCCGCTCTCAGCTTCAAAGACTTGCGCTGCGCAAGTCGTGTAGTTAGCTTTTGTTGCAGGGCAGCGTGGCCTGATGAACTGAAGAGCGGCTTATAGCACAGCCCAGATATGATAGTGGAAGATCGTGGAAGAACAGCTGTATTTGGTGTTAACGGTTTGTTTTTCATCGCTTCCATCAACAGACGATGATTCTCATGTAAGTACATATGGTCTAGGCATGCCTAGGCTGTCTACTGTTATGTTACAGGTGGCCGCAATTAGGACATTTGGCTGCGCGGTCGGCACTCCAATGCTGTGCAGAAAACTTTCGTGCTCTCTGTACCGAAATTTCCTAACAGGCTTCCAGACCATCCGACAGTCCAGCGACCCATCCCTTACTGCTGCCGAGGCAGTGTCTAGTCATGGTAATTCTATAAGTCCATGAGACTTCACGCTTTCTTAACTGTCGACCCTGTGCCACTCCATGCTCTCGACCCTTGGCTCCGACAGAGGCTAGATTCGCAAAACCCTGTCGTATCATACGAGCCAGACATGAAAGAGTGCTCGGCACTCTAATCCTAGATTTTCAGACGAGCGGCGAGTTTTCTGTGCTCCCGACGTGGCTACTGGCCAAGGGTCGGTCAAGTCCTAAGGACTTGGTTGGCTGTGAACAGTTTTGGCTCAACTTATGCAGAAAAGGAATGAGGTTCACCCCTTCGAGCCTAGACTCTCGGGCAGATTCGAAGGTTCGGCGACCTATGCCAGTGCGACTGGCGCTGACTCTTCTGTTGTTGATGTCTGTGAATACGTGGATGCGGAATACCTGAATGCCTGGATGCCTGATGTCTCTCTGTGTGTAGGGGGCGTTGACCAAGATGAATATGTGGAGGTGTGTATAATATACATGTCTATATATATGTATATGTATATGTATATGTATAGGTATACATACATACATACATACATACATACATACATACATACATGTATGTAGTTGTGCACTTGTTTATTCTTACATCTACATACCTACCTACATACATACATACATTCATACATACAGACATACACACATGCATGCGAATGTATGTATACATGCAAGCATGCATGTGTACACGCACACAATATAATGTTATGGTATCTCATTGCTGCTGTTTCGTGGCCGGGAGCTACAA